TGACTTAATGTCTTTCATGTGCTTTTCATGCCTCGATGCAGTATTTGATCATTGATGAGGTCCGCAGTGTACATGTGTCTCAAGCCACGTACCTTTCGAAAGACGCCCTTCATATTCTCTAATTTTTATAAATGTTCTGAACCATCAGAGAGAAGGTTGCGTGTATTATGAAAAGTGCGTAAGTATTGAAAGGCATAAAAGGGATGATTTAATATTTCTGAGTGTGTTTCCTAAACTCAAGAATAATCTCTTACATGATCACGATGCACTGGTCAAATTCAGGAATTTTAACATATAATATATATGCTTTGATCGTATCTGCAGCCCATAATGCAATTTCACCCATCATCCCAATAATTCTTTCATAACATTCTTTTCCCTTTCAACATGAAACCTGATCCAGGATCCTTCGTCTAGAACAGTTCTTCAGCCACATTTAACCTTTCATGACAGAGATTTTGGGAGGCTGACGGTCATTATTCTGCTTATGACCCCTTCCTCTAGACTTGGTGCTTCCTCGTGATTAGATGCAAGCTCTGCGTTTTTGGCAGGAATCGCCAGGCACCGTGGCATCCTTCTCAGGGTAACATATCAGAGACACGTATATCGGTCTGCCCCTCGTGAGAGGTATTTATTCTCATCGCTCAGTCAAGGAATTGTCAGGGTTCTCCACTGTGGGGATCCTAAAAACGCACCACTCAGATTTCCTGTCGTGAGGAGCGTAATGAATGGGTTGCCCGGCTGCTGCACTCAGAATTCCCCTGTGGCGGGAGAATGCTACCCACCGACTTCTCCAGGCCAGGACTGTATTCATTCACATTATCCACCTCAAGAATTCAGGGTTACCTAAAGATAATAGTACCTGGCCCAACTGTAGCCCGACTTGGCAAGACATTCTAGTCATGCTTATGAAAGTAATAGCACTCGTTACTAAGAAAGGTGTTTCTTGGGTCAGTGGTGGCATGGAGGTTCAGGTACTGGATCCCACATGGCTGACATCATGGTTCAAGTCCTGGACCCATTAGCTTGAAAATCATGCCAAGTGCCTGTATGAGTGTGTGGGTATATGCCCAAGGTCCCGAGAGGTTCTCTGAGGAGTTTGTTTTTTGGGTTTGTTTTTTTTTTTTTTGGTTTTGTTTGTTTGTTCGTTTTTTAGCAAAAACTTGAAACCAGTTTTCCTTCTCTTTAGGCATACATGTAGCTCTAGTCGTGTGCATGTCCAGCGACGGAAAGGCGTTTCACAGCACCGTAACTGGCTTCTATCTGTGTAAATGCATACATGACATCAGGCCCGAAGGTTAGACAAAGCACACAATAACACATCATTTAGGCTTGACAGGCATGTTCAAGAAATGGTAGGTAAAGCACTCACAACCCTCCGTAGGAACACGGATTCGTAATAAGAATATAATTTCACAGTTACACGCTGTAGTACTAAAGCGTCTGCAGAGGTCTGTCACATGTATTATTTAGTTTCATCCTCACAGTAACCCTGCGCTAAACAGAACGAGTGCTATTATCCCTGTCTTCTACATGAAGAAATTATATTCATCCACAGACGGAAAAACTAAGGAAAGAAAGGTCATTGAAATGCTCGTGGACTTTAAGAAATGTATCTGAAAGGTGGCCTGCGAGGCACTCAGCTTCTAAAACTACCTGCTGTGATGCCTGAAAACTTTCATTTCTTTTATGATATTTAATATTTCATATCATTGCTAATACCCTAGGGTCAGTGTTCCAACCTGCAGAGAACCCTCGCTTAAATCTGCAATTCCTTTTGCTGCTCGTTGCAATTAGGATTTAATAAATAAAATAACACAAGTCCTCAGCGTGCATCCTTTTCCTTTGACATTGCTGAAAATTTTAAGCAGCTTTAAACCTTTCAGATTTCCATGGGGCTAATTAAGAAAGAGAAAGAAGAGAATCAAACCTGGTCATTTTAGATCTGGTTTATTTGGGAGGTGGGACAGGAATGAGGCCGTATTTTTTTCTCCTGTAGGAATACTCATCTAACAGTTGCAATGAAGTTTTGAGAAAATAGTTTCGTAGACAAAAACATTGCTTTGCAGCGAAGTAACTTCTTGGAGAATTATTTCGCTTATGGATATGATGATTCTCTTTATTCCAAGTACACGTTTTGCCCTAAGGTCTCTTTTGTTTGATATGAATGGAGTTACACAGGCTTTCCTTTGGTATTTGTTTAGTGTATGTTTTTATCATTATAGTTTAAATATACCTCATTCAAATAACAGCTGGATTTACTGGTTCAATTGCAATATCACTGTGCGAAGCCAATCGTTCATTTTGTTCATATCGATTATGATTACTGGTACATTTGGATTAATTTCTACAATTCTAATTTGGTGTTTTTTATAAATGATGCTTTTTTATGTACTTTCCTTCTATTGGATGAATGGAGTTTTTCCTTTATTCTTTCCTGTTTCCTTCCTTCTCATATTTACTGTTAACCTTTTAACTTTTTACCTGACTTAGAGAATGGGGGGAACCAGCAGTTAGCGTAATGGCTATGTCGCTGGACTCCCACGTAGTCGACTGCGGTTCGTGTCCCAGACCCGGTGGCTTAAAACTCACGCCGGGCGCGTGTGCGTGCGTGCCCAAGATCCCGAGAGGAGAATGGAGGAGAAGGGATTGCGGCGTGACCATCCCCCCTGGGGGGTGATTTCTCGCTTTCTGTCTCTATGTTTCTCTCTGTCTGTCTGGCGAGCGCACGCGCCCTCTCTGTTGTGCGGGGGAGAAAAGGCGCCCTACAGGAAAAAATCTCTCAAAAAAAAAAAAAAAAAAGAAAATGGTAAAGCTACTCAAAATTTTGGACTACTTTTTTTGGAGAGTTTTTTTGTTTTTTTTTTTTGTTTTTTTTTGTTTTTTTTTTGCTATAGGGCACGTGCGCTCGCCAGACAGACAGAGAGAGACATAGAGACAGAAAGCGAGAAATCACCCCCCAGGGAGGATGGTCACGCTGCAATCCCTTCTCCTCCGTTCTCCTCTCGGGATCTTGGGCATGCACGCACACGTGCCCGGCATGAGTTTTAAGCCACCGGGTCCAGGACACAAACTGCGGTTGACTACATGGGAGTCCAGCGACATAGCCATTACGCTAACTGCTGGTTCCCTGGACTACTTTTCAATAATATAAGAACCTTAGACTTCACACCAGGCTACTCTCATTCTCCATTGACATGTTTTTCTTGTCTAATAGTGTAGTTCCTTTTTCCATCTCCCTTCCTCAATTAATTGTTATTTTTACTCATTGTCTGGGACAGACGATGTTTATTCAAATATACTCCTGTTTTCACATAAGAAAAATGCTTTTTTGCAGACCACTTCTTCTTTCTTAAGAAGGTCTCAATTTCCTCCTTTTGTAACTCTTTTATTTATCTTTATCTGAAAAGAAAAAAAAAATCCGACCCTTGGTTTTCAATATTTTAGCTGGAAAAAATTCTAGATAGCTTAATTTTTTCCTTCAACACTTTGGTAATGATATTTCATTTTCTACTGGCCTCTACTATTTTTGAGAAGTTTATTAAGTAGTTTATCTTGGTGGTTGTTTTTAATGTTTATTCATATTTACTACTTCTCTGCATGTGTGTTTAATGGTTTGAGATATTCGTGCTTCTTGTATATGAAAATTCATGTATTTCTTTGATTCTGAAAAATACTGAGTCATTAGACTTTTTTAAAGAATGAATTATTTAATTTTATTCATTATTATTTTAAAATTGTCTGTATAGCACGTGTGTTCACTAAAGAGAGAGAGAGAGAAAGTGAGAAAGCAAGTTGCCAGGTCTGGGACTTGGATTCGTGGCCGGCCATGTGGGAGTCCAGTACCTTAACCACCACACCACCTGCTGGCCCCAACCTCTTTTCTTTCTAAAATGTCTCGGTGTATTTTACATTTTTCGGACACATTGAACTCAATAAGATGTAAATAGAAAATGTATTCACTTTTTTCCAAATTGCCCAGTTAAACTTCTAGGTAATCTGGCCTTTTATTTGCCTTTTGGATGAAATTTTGAAGTAAGTCTCACAAATGTTCTAGTTATTATTAGATAATTAGGCATCCTGTGGTGACAACAGTCTCGTTTCAGTAACCGTAATGTCCTATAAAGTATGATAATTAAATTTCTGAATTTTGTTAGAAGGTAAAAGTTCTCCCTTTCCAAGGCTTGGGTTTTTCTAGCTGGGAAACCCAAAGTGGGAGAGAGGAGTCTGGCTGTCTTCGATTTCCTTCCCCCTGTCTATGCCTCTCTAGTCTGTTGCCTTGGTTTCTATCCCTCAGAATCCAGCCCAGGAGGTAGGAGAATAGAGAAAGAGCATAGTATTTCCTTTTTAGAGAGAGATTTTTGCTGTCGATATATGCACTTGCCAGAGAGATAGACAGACAGACAGAAAGTGAGAAATCACCCCCAGGAGGAATGACCACGTTGCAATCCTCTCCATTCTCCTCTCAGGATTCTGGGCATGCACACACACATGCCCAGTGTGAGTTTTAAGCTGCCAGGTCTGGGACTTGAACCATGGCCGACTACATGGGAGTGCAGCAGTGTAACCGTTACATCATCTGCTGATCCCAAGAGCATATTCTTAAAAGACTGGTCTTATCTCGAGCCAACTTTGGGACTCTTTGGATAGCAATTATACTAGTCCCCTCCTTATCCACAGTTTAACTTTCTGTAATTCCAGTTACCCATAGTCCAAAAATCCATGAGCAAAGTACAATAAGATGTTTTGAGAGAGAGAGACCACAGATAAGTAACTTCTAGTACAGTACATTGTTATAATTATTCTGTTCTTTTCTATTCTTATTGTTAATCTCGTACTGTGCCTAATTTATAAGTTACACTTTAAACAGTGTTTATAGGGTTTGGTACTATCTGTGGATCCAGACATCTACTGGGGGTCTTGAACATAGTTCCCCCAGACAGAGGGAGGCCCGGCTGCATTCACTTACTATCTCTTTCTCTCTCGGGATGCTTTTCTAGGTTTCTCCCCCTCTGCCCACCATTGGGAAACCACAGCACCTGCAGTTCCTGTGAGCTGGCCATGCCCTGCGTGCAGTCAGTTGCTTACTTCTTCGGTCACGACCTCGGCCTCTGTCCTGAGTCGCTTTGCTCTTCAGGAGGCCTCTGCAGCAAAGCCCACTTCAAACCCGCCTCAGGCTGAAGGCTCACTGTGTGACCCCCTGTTTGCTTCACAGAAACACGAACAACCTCTGTGCAGCCGAGGGTGAAAGTGCAGTGTGCTCCCTGTGCTATTCTCTCAGGGTGGACTTCAGCACAGCTCCCCTTTCGGTCCTCAGGCCTGTCCAGACTCAGGCCCTGGTCTCCTGGGCACTGTTGTTAGTGCAGGCAGGTTATGACTCGGTGAGTCCGGGTTGGGACTAAGATCCCACGTTCCAAACAAGCTACAAGGTCATGACTAATGCCGCGGGTCCAGGAACCACACTCAGAGCAGCGAGGCTTCAGACATGTACGGCAGGTCCACTGAATGGTTTCTCATTTGCTTGACATTTGGGAGAAACACCCTTCTCACCCTTCTCTTTACCTGGGGGTAGAGGAGATAAAACATCTCAGCATCCCTGTAACATCTGAAAGCCAGTAGAACAACTTATTAGCATTTGTTTGTTGGTTTGCTACAGGGTGCATGCAATTGCCAGAGACAGAGGGGGGAGGGAGGGAGGGACAAAGAGAGAGGAAAAGTGAAAATTCACCTCCTGGGGGGGATGGCCAGTCCACAATTCCTTTTCCTTCATTCTCCTCTCAGGATATTGGGCACATGTGCACATGCGCCTGGCGTGATTTTTAAGCCACTGGGTCTGGAACTCCGACAGTGCCGTCACCCATGTGAGATCCAGCTGCCTTAAACGCCAGGTGATCTGGCCCAAGATCATCTTTTTAAAATTAACTAAATTGTGTTATAGAAATAAAAATATACCCAGGACCAGCAGATGGCTGGTTATGTAGCTGGACTCCCCCGTGGTTGACCGTGGTTCCAGTCCCAGACCCGGCAGCTTGAAACATGCCAGGAGAATATGCACATGCACCTAAAATCTCAAGAGGAGAATGGAAGACAAGGGATTGTGGTATGGCCATCCCCTGGTGGAGGTGGATTTCTTGCTTTTTGCCTCTCTGTCTCTCCTGAGAGTACATGTGCCCAAAGAGGAATCATAATGAATACTGATTTTGAGGGTGTACACAAGTGCACACATGCCCAAAATCCCGAGAGGAGAATGAAGAAGGATGGACTGGCCATCCCCCAGGAGGTAAATTCTCACTTTTCCTCTCTCTTTGTCCCTCCCTCTGTCTCTGGCAATTGCATGCTCCCTGTAGCAAACCAACAACAAAAAAATGCTAATAAATTGTTCTACTGGCTTTCTCTCCTTTTCAGATTTGGCTGAAAAATATGTTACTACCCTCAGGTGAAAGAGAGCCATAGGGTAGGTGTTCCAGCATATTCTGTTGCTAATAAGAGATAATATCTGACTCAGGGTAATCTATAAAAATAGAGGATTTGGGGAACCAGTAGATTGTGTAATAGCTACATCGCTGGACTCCCATGTAGTCGACAGCAGTTCGAGTCCCAGACCCAGTGGCTTAAACTCACGGCAGGCGCATGTGTGCATGCCCAAGATCCCGAGAAGAGAATGGAGGAGAAGAGATTGCGGCATGGCCATCCCTCCCCCCCACCCCCCCTCTCGCTTTTTGTCTCTCTGTTTCTCTCTGTCTTTCTGGTGAGTGCATCCGCCCTATAGCAAAAACCTCTTAAAAAAAAAAAAGGTTTTCAGCTCATTGGTTGGAGGTCCAAGGTCCAGAGGTTTATCTGGCGAGAATCTCCTGTCTCCCCTGCAGCATGGTGGAGGGCAGGAGTGTGTGTGCCTGAGTCTATGTGTCTCCACTCTGGTCCCGTTCCCTCTCCTTAGAAACCCACCACACTCAGTCCTGCGGGCACCATGATGCCTTAACCCTAGACTCTCAAAGGTCCCACCTTCCAACACCATAGTTGGATGAAACTTTTACCCTCTTAATCTCATTACAACCAAATCTCAACACATGGGTTTTGGGGCCCATTAAAACCATATCAGTATATGTTTAAATTGATAGGAAACTGCCAAATAGGTTTTCAAAATAGTCATGTCATTTTATACTCTCATTGGCATTGTATAAGATTCTTAGTTTGGTTTACTTTTGGTTAATATTTGGTATTTTTGACAAAGACAGTTGAGGAGAGACAGAGAAGGAGAGAGAGACAGCACCCCCAATAGGGTCTTGTCACCACGATCTACCTCTAGCCTCCAGCTAGCCCCAGATCACGGGCACACACACACCGGTGTCCTCAGGGATGACTCCAGACTTGAACCAGAACCTCTCATGTGGGATTGTCTTGCAGAGTGTCACATTTTACCACTTGGGCCACTGTCTGGCTCCAACATTTGTTCCTCTTAGTCTTTTCAAGTTAAGTCATTATCATGTATATAAAGTTGGTATCTCATATAGGTTTGTCTTTATTTATTCATTTATTTTTAGTTCATTTACTTATTTTTCCCAGAGAGAGAGACATAAGGAGAAAGAAACCCCCACCAGGGTCTTCACACAGGATCCACCCCCATCCCCAGCCAGCCAGTGTAACAGGGATGTGTGTAGATACCTGGCATATACAGGGCGGCCTAGAGATATGAACCTGGGACCTTTCCATGTGGTCCAACATTGCAGAGCATTGTATTACAGTGCCACTGGCTGGCCCTCGTGGCAGTTTTAATCTGTGTTTCCCTTATTTCTTTGATCACCTTTTCATGTGCTTATTAACCATTCATTTATGTTCTTTTTAAGTGTCTAAGTATTTTGCCCATTTTCAGGTTGGATTGTCTTTTTATTATTGATCTGTAGGATGTGTATACCTTCTTTGATCTATAGGTCACTTACGTGTATATTGTTTGGTTTTCAAATAGTTGGAGATTCTCTAGATAGATTTCTGTTATTGGCTTCTAATGTACTACTATATTGGTCAGAGAATATGTAAATCCTCCTAGATTTACTGAGTTTTTAAAAATGATTCATAGGATGGTTTAGTCTGGTGAACATTACGTATGTACTTGAAAATATATGTGTTTTGTAGTTGATGGGTATAAGGTTTCATAAATGCCAATTAGGTCAAGTTGGTTGACAGCATTGTTCAAATCTTCCATAATCTTAATTTTGGTCTACTTGTTCTATCAATTACTGAAAAGCATTAAAATCTTCTACTATGATTATGTATTTATTTCTCCCTTTAGTTCTGCTAATTTTTATTTCTGTTATTTTTATACTTTGAAGTTCTCTTATTTGATAAGTTGACCACTTCAATATCATTAAATAATCCTGTTTTCTTTTCTTGGTAATAAGCTCATTTTAAAAATTACTATGGTACAAAAAATTAAAATTAAAAAATAATTATTATAGCATATAATTTCTTTTTAATTCCCGGAGCACCTGGAAGTACATCTTATTATTCCATTTTAAAAAAATCACTAGAGGGCATTTGTGCTCACCAGAGAGAGATAAAGAGAAAGAGAAATCATTTCCCAATGGGACATGGTCAAATTACAATCCCTACTCCTCCATTTCTTCATACAGACATGATTTTGGGCACACATGCTTGTGTGTCTGGTGTATTTTTCAAGTCATCAGGGCCTGGATTCAAACTTTAACCACTAGGTTACAAGGCTGGCCCAATACTATTATTCCATTTATAGATGTAGAAACTGAGTGAAAGTGACCAAAGTGTATACTGGTAAATAAGGTGGTGCATACTAAAATAATTTAACTTGATAGCAAGTCTTAGATGTTGTAGGTACTTTAATTACTACAGTCTTCTCTGATAGTTTTATAACCTCTTTATTTTAAATATATTTATTTCAGTTTCTTTTATACATTTAATCATATATGTCACTTAGCTTGCAAAGTGAATATTCCAACATGTATACATTAATCACCAATCCAGTTGGGAATACTATACACATCATCCTCAACAGATGATAATCCATCTCTCTGTCCCACAAATGCCCTGCTCCTCTCTTTCTCTCCCCAATGTCTCTCCTTTGTTTCTCCTCCTTCACCCACCGTCTTCCCACACTGTATCCAGTATTTATAACCATTTCCTATGTTTCTGTATTCTCTAATCATTCAGTTTTGGCCATAGAGTGAGGACAGTCAGTATATATTAAGTGGAGACATACAATGTCTCTCCTTCATAGCCTGACTTGCTTCTCTTAGCAGTAAATCTTCCTGTCTTCATCCACTTTCTGTCAAGAACCAAAGTCTTGTTGCTTTTTATGACTGAGTAGTATTCCATAGACTATATGTGCCCCACTTTTCCAATCCATTCATCTGTTCATGGGCATTTGGGTTGGTTCCATGTCTTAACAATTGTGAATAATGTTGTGATAAACATTGATGTGCAAGCACTTTTCCAACTGAGTATACTCCTGTCCTTTGGGTAGATACCAAGGAGTGGGATTGCTGGATCATATGGTAGTTCTATTTGTAGATCTTTGAGGAATCTCCATATTGTTCTCCATAGTGGCAGGACCAATTTACATTCCCACACCCCCACCAATACTTATCTTTATTTTTTTAATCCTAGTCATTAACCTGTCTTATTTTTATCCTTTTAGTTTTTCCAACTTTTTACTTAGACATTTATTTCTACACACATGAGTTTTTATTCTCTTTGCTAATAATCATCCTTTTCCTCCCTCATTGTCATTTGCCTCCACTATACTGGTCCTATTACAACACAATATAAACAACCTAGGCCATGCACAAGTAATTAAATGGAAACTAAAATTTGAGCTGCCTAGAAAATCTTCTATTATCACAAAATAATTTATCTTGGCATCTTTTCTGTTTGTTCTTTTTTTAAGTTTATTTATTTTAGTCATTTTAGAGAGTGTGTACACACATGAGAGAGAGAGAGAGAGAGAGAGAGAGAAAATGCACCTTTGGCAGGGTCTTCTCCTAACACAATCCCCTCTCCTCAGCCCTCTAGCTTGTCAGACATGCATGCACCTTGGTCACACATGCATGCACCTGGAGTGTTTTCAAGCCGACCTGAGGCACCAAACCTGCAGCTGGCACATGGCTTCTAGTACCACAGTTGAGTTTGCTACCAACTACATCATCGGGCTGGGGCATAACATGTTTTCTTGTTAGTAAGTGAAA